ATACCCCTTGTGTCCTGACTGTCAGCAATGCTTATTCTTCCTGCGTGGCTCTTCGGGTTGTTGGCTGTTTTTTGGGTGGGGTGAGTTTTGTTTGGTTGGTTTTTTTTATTAAAATGTAGAGGAACTGGAACTAGCCCCTCAGCCCCCGAAGCGACAGATGAAGACTAATCCTTCCCCGTGCTGCTTCCTGACCTGCTGAAGGCAATCACGAAGTCTCAAGCAGGAAAGCACTTAAGTGCTGGATTAACTGCCTTTTCTTCCCACCCTCGTTTCAAGTTTCACTTCCTAGATATGTCATGACATCATAGCCTAGCTTGGTCTCCCCTCCTCTCCAGCTGCCTTTGGGTGGAGGGAAGAGAAAACGGGGCAGGCCATAAACTTAATTGATGTGGTTTAAAGGAGCTAAATCCCCAAACCTTTAGGCCATGTTTTACGAGTGTAGGAAAGAAAATGCGTGAACCTATTCGACTGCTTAGCTTGCTTGTTTTTGTTAAACTTGGCCAGGTGCTCCAGGGTGTCTTCCAAGTAGATTAAGGCCGGCTCAGATGGAGATGAGCTAGAGAGCGTGTGCGTGGCCCGGAGGAATCAGTTCCTTGAGGGTAAAGACAGTTGATCTGCGTTGGGCTTGCTGCTTTGACTTGCTCGTGGATATTTGCAGCGTGGCGTTGGAGAGAGAAAGGGGGCATGGCAGCCTGTTACATGTGCAGAGACTACCCTCACAGGGAGCGGCCTGTGCTGAAACCGTATTTTAGAGTAGTGGAACAATCTTAGCTCTGTGCAGAAGTACATGACTAAATGAGCGTTTGAAATCATATGATTTAATCTCAGAGCAAATTCATCAGCTAAAGCTCAAGTGATACGACACTTTTTAACCCATCTGCTTATTCGACACTAACTTCTAAAGCTAACGGGGGGAAGTTGGGACGTTAAACACTTGATTCAGAGAACAGCCAGCCTTGTTGCTAAGGAGATGACTTGTTAACGTACTGGAAGTAGGTTCAGGCTAACAGAGGAGGCAATTACAGCACCAACAATCTACCTCTGTGGAGAAGAAAAAGCATGTAATGTGTTGCATATACAACAACTGACTCCTTTTCTATAAAAGACTCTTAGAAACCAGAACAATCAATGAGTTTGGGCTGCGCTACTGAACTGTGGAAGCTGTCAAATTAGCTGCTTAATTTTGTACCGTGCGGCTCAAGAATGGCTGTTTAATGCTTAAGCATCTCTTGCTCTTTGCAGCCTTATCTTTCATTGGGCTTTTGGGTGTACGCTTAGTACATTAAACCAGGAAAGCAGGGCTGAGATACTTGGCGTTAGGTAAAGGGATACCGAGCCTTTTGTGTGCTTAACTCGTTGATCCCAGTTTGTATTAAGTGATATCAAGTCCGTGATAATGTAGCAACTCTAAGTAGTTTCTCTGATACATTATCCTGTTGTCTGTTGCTTTCTCCTTTCTGATGCATTACATCTACTCATTCATTTCACAGTTTGTGTTTGTACACCAAGTTAGATTGGAGTCAGTTGGAAAACTTGTGTCATCCAGAGTCCTTGTTGTTTGTCAAGTGCATGAATCGTATTCTGAACCCAGCAAACCTCAGCTGTGTCAACAGATGTGCTAGCTGTCTTTTGATGTTCATTTTCTGTTACTTTTAATAATGTATCAATGCACCATTTGGGTTGAGGGTGAGTTTCTACTTTTAAGACTCTCCTACTCAGTGATGTGGGTTTGGTTATATGGTGTAGTTGTGCAAGCAGGTTTAGTGATTATCTAGGGGTTTTTAAGTTATCCTCTGCACCTTCTTACGGATAAGTCTGACTACTCTGACACTCCAGCTGTCTTCCTGCAAACTGATGCCATACTGACACTCTTACTGTAGGCAGGGAACTGTGGGCACACTCGTGTGCAAGCTTGTCTGAAGAGGGATGTGAAAAGTGGTGACTGCTAGCTGACAGATGTGCTGGAAGAAGCTCTGAACCTGAGGAGTTCCTCCAGGGGAACTAATTCTCCTGCTTCTGGACAACAATATTAGTGTAATCTGTTTTGGTTGTGTTCCGGTGGCTACTGGTACTGTCAGCTAGTGTAGACCTAGCCAGAGTGTAATGTGACAGTAGCCTAGTGACCACGTAACTCGTACAATAGTCCTGAAAATGGACTGTGTGGTAGAAAACACTAAATACAAAATGTTGTAAGGTGCTGGCAGTTGAATTGAAATTAAGGTATGTGTATGAACAGGGGGAACCTTTTCAGATTTCTGTGTGACCTCCTCTAAGTGAGGACAGAATTCTGTGTTTCTTAAGGTATGCAAAAAACTAATCACATCTAGACTGCGTCATATGTCTGCTGGGCTCTCTGTAATGCTTGCTGACCCTTGGGTTTGGAGAACTGTGTGAAGATTACTCGTGGTGCAATAGAAGACTCAGAGGATCAGCCTATCTTGAAAACACAAGGGAAAAGGATGAGCATTCAGTTTCCCGCTGCTCTGGGGTTCTTAGTCCAAGAGAATAAGTAAAGCACAGTTTATTACAGAGTCTGTCATCGCTGCGTCGCAACCTGGGGACTTGTCATGTGTTGATGCCATTGGGCTGTCATGAGAGTCTCCTTCTGACCAAGTGTGGGTGAAGAACCTGATGGTACTCAGCCCTCTTCGGCCTTCTTCAGTGGGGTTTCCACCTGGAATGTAAGATCCTATTTCTGCTCCTGGTCTCCCTTTTCCTTTCCCACCGTGCTGCCTTCTGCATGACTAACGCTGTTCACATGCGTGACCAGAGTGGTACCTACAGTTCCAGTCTACATGGGCCCACACTGAGTTGCCGCTGGGGTTTTGTGTCACCTGATGGCAGACGTACCCGGGTGCTGTGACTCTCGCTGTAGGAGAAGGAACACAAGAAGCTGCATCATCTGTTTCGCTGTTGTCTCGTGTTGAGAGAAGTAGGATTAGATTCATTATGATCACAATGCCATTTATGGCTTAGAGGGACTTTCCTTCACAGATGATTTTTCCTTTTAGAAGGAACAAGTAAGGTTTTGTTTTAGGTAAGTTGGCTTGCAACTTAACTGCTTTAGTTGATAGGGAACACACAGCTATCGTTGCTGTATTGGGCTGCGATGCCTGTATTCGAACAGTTAAAAAAAGAAAAACACAAAACCTTAAGAGGTGTAACTTTGCACATAAATCATAGATATTCTTTTGTTAATCGCCTTATATTTGAGGATTTCTGCCAGAATGGTCTGAGCTGAGGTGGGCATCTTGAACTACCTAGATCTTGCTTAGGTAGCCACTTTATATTATATTTTTGAATATAAATAAAATCACTTTCTCTTTTATTTGGACTATTTTGTCCTTAAATTCAGTGCCCTTCCCAGTGCAGCAAGAGAACTTCTGCTGTATTTGTCAAAACATAGTCTGTCAACTGAGAAACAGTCAGCAGGTTCATATTAATATTTCCAGTTAAGTCAGATACAGGCATGTAGTAGCTTCCTTTCTTCTTCCACTTCCCCTATCTGCAGTATTTAGCAATGGTTTGTGCTCAGAAAAGTATGAAAATGAGTGTTTTAAGCTATTATGGGTACTCTGGAAGAAGGGAGGGATTACAAAGAATAGAATGAAATATGCATTCAGAGTGTTGTATCGGCCATATTGGAAGTCAAGGTGCACAGGAGACGCTCCAAGATGAGAAACTGCGTGCTAGTGACTGGAACCTGCACATACTGTTCCTCTTTCCACCTCTTCTTGTTGCCTAAGAATCCAGAAATCTGCCAGAGGTGAGTAACTTCAACAGTCTCTAGCGGGTGTTGTAACTCGGTGCTTAAGGGCACCAATCCCGCGCAAGTATGAATATGCAGAAGCGTCTAGGCCCAGGAATACACTTTTTTTGCTTATTTCCTTTCTGTTAATTCCCCTACTGACAGAAATAGCACATAAAGCTTCTTAAGGTAGAGTGTCTACCCTCTAGCTGCAGCTTTTAATGTCACTGGGTCAGCAGCCAACTCATGTAAGTCCGTAGCTGGACCGCCATCTGCTGTGATTTGGAGACGGGGAATAATTTTTTGAGGATGATACTGAAAAGAGAAGATGTTAGTGTAAGTGGTTTAGAAAGACTTTACTGTTTGTTTAGCAAGCTAGACCCAGGTAACTAGGGGAGAACTGTAATCCGTTAAGAACAGCAGTACTTTCTCCTATTTGTGGTGGCAAGTCATTGCTGACTAAAACTCCTTTCCTGATGGACCTGGTGAAAAAGTCTTGTTAAGACATGAACTCGTACCAGAAGTTGTTCAAGAAGCTGTTGGGATCCTTGGTGATTCCAGGCACGGTGAGCACTAAAAACTGTGAGGGTCTAGTATTTCTAAGTCTTCTTCCAAATGGGAGCTGCCTAGTCTCGGTGCTAGGAAACTGGATAACGGTGTCAGATGAGATGTACGTCATCTGCAGCCTCCACGTCTGGCCTCTGAGCTTCTTGCAAGACAAGTGTTTGCAGGAAGGAAAGCAGCTTAATACACCTTGCGCTTGTTGCAGCAGAACTTCCTGGAGTTCAAAGCAACCATGGCAAACTTTCATTTGCCTTCACCTCTCTCTTTTTTTGTTCTTTGAAATCCCTCCTCCTTACAACTTGTCCTCCAGTCCCTGGTAACAGAATCAGCGATGACATCGCTGGTAACCAAAGATGAGACTTCTGTACCTCTGTTGAGTGGGAAGAATATTGTGTAGGTGCGGTTTACTCTCTTTGTCATCAGATCTGGTTATTGTAGGCCACTCTATGGAGGAATCCTTGAACCTGTGCATAGCATGTCTGTTGGAAGGTTTCAGCTCGTGAGTTGTGCCCACGTCTATTAATGCATGCCTCGTATCTACTCCAAAAACTCTTCAAAATCAGCTGAAAGTGTTAAAAGTTGCTCTCCTTTAACACTATAAGTACTGTCATTTGGACTTAGACCAGCCTGCGGAGAGGGGGAAAAGACATTTAAGAATGTTTTAAAGGATGGAGAGTGAAGCATCTGTCTGGGCAAAATGGCTGGATTTAGACAAAGTTCTTGGAAGCTTTATCCAAATGGATAAATAGATGAGTTATCAAACAGTTGATTTTTGCTGACCTGCCACATGCTTAAGATTTTACAGCAAAAGTTGCACCAGATGAACAGGCAGAGAAATCTCCATAGCCCTGGTCATGGCTCTATGAGGCTGCAGATGTTACATTCCTTGGCTTTTGGTTTTCCTAGCCTGCTTTTTTGCTACGCTGCTGAGGCAGAGCTTCAGAAGCAGTTAGTGCTGACAGTCAGGGGAAGGAGGGCGGACGCAGCGATTTACTGTTAACCTGCTGATGATAGCTGCAGACTTCAGAGACGGTGAGCGTGAAGCTCTGCGATGAGCATATGAACAGCTGTTGGATGCATCCTCAAAACCCCAGTTCTGCCTTCACGCTCCCGGCTCTGGCGTGTTTTTTTTGCCCCAGGGAAGTGAAACATTCAGATCTGCTACAGTCTCTTGGGTTACCCCCTCCTCGCAGGGGCAATAACCCAGTGAGGGGGGAGAGTGTTAAATCCATTTTGTTCAGTCCCTCCAGTCTGTACTGCGATGTTAGTCAATAAATACTCTTGGCCTTTAAACGGAAAAATGCAAAGCAGAATTAAAGGAAATTGGCAAACCCCTTAATGTGGTGAACAAATTGAGAAGTAAGAGTTGTGTCAGGGCTCTTATTTCACATCAGGGAAAAAAAACTGAGCTCCTGAATGTGGTAATAAGCTGACTTTTTTTTTAACATTAAACTCAATTACTACTCTTTCTCAAGTGCTCTCATTTGAAACTGTCTAAGCTGTGGGTTAGCTGACTAACCAGTGTTTTTCACCTAGTCCCAAATAAAATTGCAAGGTGAAGTTGGTGTTCACACATCTCTGTGAAGGCCACTGCGTAGGATGAGCTGGGGCTGTGTCAGAGGCTTTTTAGAGCAGAGCAATGTAGAAGGATGTGCTTAGGTGACAACTTTCATAAAAAAAAAAAAAGCTGTAAGTTCTTAGGAAGGAGTTCAAATTTTTCAGAAAAGTAACTGTTCCTCTGTACCCTGTTTTGAAGTCAATAAGCCTGTCTTCCAAGGTTATAAAAATAAAAACAACTATAAAGCCAAAACCCAGCCACCAACAGCATTTATACATACATAAACAAGATGTCTGGGAAGAATGTGTCCAGAAGCATTTTGATACTTATACTTGTATCCTCTCATACTTGAGAATATAGACCTCTCATATATGGATCAAATCTGTGACATTACATGAGATTTAGAGGTTTGAATCCTAATCATACTGCGTGGCTGAGTCTCCGTGCTCTGTCCCTTATCATTTGAGCCTCCCAGCTGTATTTGTAACTCTTCCAACTAACTTTCCTGGATATGTACTAGTGGTACTAAATATGATTGAGGGGAGATTTCTAGGAAGCCATCTTCATTGTCTCAACTTGCATTTAATTTGGAAGATTGATCAGCTGCAAACCTCCTTTCCTGCCCGGAGGTCAGAGATGTTGTGTACAAAGGAGCACACTTCATCGGTTGGTAGAGACTTCTAGCTTCCATTAGCTGTTCTGGACAAAAGCTTCCTAGGCTGAGCTGGTTTAGTGGATGTCTGGTGCTAGCCCATCCTGGTTTGTGCCTCTTCTGATCTCTAAATCTCATGCAAATGTTGGAAATGCTGGGGAGGAGGAGGAGTTTCTTACAAATTGGGCTATACAGAAACTGTTGCGATGCATTAACACTCATCTCCATGCAGCAAACTTTATGGCCCTTGGGCTGAAGCTCAATTAACAGGTTTGTGAAGTGGTCTTGTGTTAGGCTCGTTCTCGGACTGGTAAGCTTCTAAGTGCTATTTTAATAAGCTTTCACAAGAGGGCAGAGCAGAATTTGCTCTGGGAATTGTAGTTATCTTGAGACTTGCATGTATCTAGAAGTGAGCCAGCTCAGATGCCTTCGTTGTTACGGCACCGTGGGCTGTTATTTGTGCTGCCCACCTGTAGCACTACTGTCTTGGGCCTTCTCTGGCTCTTAAGTTGCTGCTCCCCAAGGGAGAGTCCCAGGGAAAGCCACAGCAGCGCTCGGGTGTCCTTTCTCGGCGAGGGGATGCTGGGGCGTGGAGGAGGAGAGGTCTGCAAACCCTGCACCACCGCTGCCGGTCTTTGCTTGTCGGTCGTGGCTAAAGCAATCACATAGCTGCTGTTAGCGCAAACATCTTGGCATTGTTAGCCCGAGATAATGCTGTGGCGCGGATAAGTGAGCTCTTTGAGGTTTGCAAACGTCATCAAGGAGGTACTGCTTGAAAGCAGCAAGGTTTCCATGCAGCATGTTAAGGTGTGGTAAAATACGACCAAGAAAGCTACTTGAAAAGGAGGTACTGTGTATCTCTAGCTTTATGAATCTTTAAGTATGTTGGCCAATTCATTTATTACACTTACTACAGTAATACCCAGGACCATCATCCTTGTTGAAATAGCTTAGGGTCCGCAGAGAAAACTATTCCCCTGCCCCCTTATTAGAGGACAAACTGACTTGTTGGTGGCTTTTTTTTCCCCCTGGCACAGCTCGGAAGTCCAGTTTCCTTCTTTGTTGTACTGCGTACTTGCATCTGTCAATACTGTGCGTTCCAGTAGTTCAGCTAAAAGAGCTGCTCTGGATCTTTCCTCACTCTTTGAAATGTTCCCTGGCAGGTTTTCCTGTAAAATTCAGTGCTACCTCTATTAATGTAAGTCAGTCGACATTAAGCTTTATAACATTCTCTGTACGTGAAGACTGTCACATTCTTTTTTTTTTTTTTTCTCCCTTCAGGTTGACCCCAAAGATTACACTTTTTCTGGACTTAAAGATGAAACTGTGGGTCGACTGCCGGGAAAAGTAGCAGGACAACAATTCGTCATTCAGGACTGTGAGAACTGCAGCATCTACATATTTGACCATTCTGCTACAATCACTGTTGATGACTGTGTAAACTGCCAAATCTTTTTAGGCCCAATAAAAGGCAGCGTGTTCTTCCGTGACTGCAAAGATTGTAAATGCATAGTGGCCTGCCAACAGTTTCGCACGCGGGACTGCAGGAAGCTGGAGGTATTCTTGTGCTGTGCCACCCAGCCCGTTATTGAGTCCTCCACAGGTATGAAATTTGGATGTTTCCAGTACTATTACCCTGAGCTCGCTTTACAATTTAAAGATGCAGGACTGAGTATCTTCAATAACACGTGGAGCAACATCCATGACTTTACCCCTGTGTCAGGAGAAAATAACTGGGGCCTTTTGCCTGAGAATGCTGTAGTACAAGATTACGTTCCTCTGCCCAGCTCCGAGGAGCTGAAAGCTGTCAGAGTTTCTACCGATGCAATGAAGAGCATCATACCGGTAACTCGAGGGCGGAGGCAGAAAAGCAGCGATGAATCGTGTTTGGCTGTATTTTTTGCTGGTGACTACACAACTGCAAATGCCAGGAAGTTAATTGATGAGGTAAGCAATCTTTGTCTGTGTTCAGCTTTTTGAATTTCTAGTTGAACTTCCCTCTGGATAGCCTCTGGAACGCACAGCCTCTGCTTGTCCGCTAACCATACCAAGCAACTGCACTGGTTAAAACCGTAAGGCAAGGTAAGAGACTGGAACTCATCAGATCAGACAGTTGTTTTACAGCTGACATCCCGTGACTGACACATCTATCCTTGAATAGTTCCAGTGGAGTTTTCCACCACGGCGCACCGTAGCGACTTTGAGGAAAATCCGTAGTTGATTTGATGAACTTGGCCAAATGTAGGGTGAGTGATTGGCAATGCTTGGAAAAAGTGATACAGCCAATTGTTAGCTTATTGCCTTGAAAGTCACAGCTAACAAAACAGCCAACCCTGAAGTTTTTTCCAGTACTAACAGGCATTTAAAAAAAAAAAAAAAATTATATACATATATCATGTTAATTTTTACCCCCTTCCTGCCACCCAGTGTTGGAATTCTTTTCTGGAAGAGGCTGTGAGTGTTTGTCACGGCTGGCCAGCTGTCTTCGATTACTTGAATAGCTGGTGCTGGGTTTCTTTTTTTTGTTTCCCTGTGAGGCAGCAGATCCCAAGCTTGGCTGAGTTTGGGCTTTCCTGGGGCTAAGATCTGGGAGGGGCTGGCTGCTTTTAGCACCCTGGAGTGCCAGGGATGGCAGAGCAGAGCCAGGAACCATGAGCTACAGCTTGTGAGAGGTATCTGCAAAAGCTGTTGATCCCAGTGTTGCATGATCAACAAAACAACTGATGGAGCTCCTTGCCTTGAGCTTTTAAGTGCAAGGAAAGCAAGCTGTGGGGTGTTCCCATGCCCCCTGCACTGCCCAGCTGAATTTTATGGAACTGACTTAGTAGCAGAAACACCATATGGGTGGGGTTTTTTTCTGCAGAAGAAATAGCTGCAGTAAAGAGTATAATAGATGTGTTCTCCTGTGTCAGTAGGTTTTTTAGAAATCATAGTTAAGATGCTAAAAGACTAGTTAGTGAGATTCTGTGGGAATCTTACTGCTCTGTAGATTTATGGATGTTTAGGAAGTACAAATACAGTTGCTCCTTCTTCACGTGCTTTTAGTTTTGTATTGCATTTGAAGTAAAAAGCTCTGTGTCTTCATAAGTTTGTAACTTTTTTTTTTTTCCCCAAAATGGAAAACTTCAGCAGTGGATAGATGAGAGTTGGAGCTAATGCTTGACTGAACTATTGCCGACTAATGAGAGCTAACTGCTTGACTCCAGATGCTGAATGCATTTAACTCCCATTAGTTTCATCTTGTGAGGGATTGTGGGGAAAAAAACACAACCCTGGGCCATAATATAAAAAAAAAAATTGTTCACATTTACTCCTCTAAGTGCACTAGGGCTGAGGAGAAAATCTGGATGAATAGAATGAAAATAAACAAATATAGAAAAAGCAAATGGTCTCTGAAAAGAGCAGAAAGGGTCCCTTTGCTCCGTGGCTTAATGTGTATGGGGAAAATGAGTCTATTCCAGTGTAATCTGAATACTTGAGCTGAACTCTCTCTGCCTTAGAAGCATTTTTAACATGAATTCTCTCTCTGTTAACAGATGACTGGCAAAGGCTTTCAGCTGGTACAGACAAAAGAAGTCTCAATGAAGGCAGAGGATGCTCACCGAGTTTTCCAGCAGTGTGCATCAGAATTCATTCCACTTCTTGAAAAAGGTGAGTTTGTGTTGTTTTCTTTCTCTTGTTGATAGAGAAATCTAGCTGTCACTAGAGAGTTCTTGACAAAAGGAATGAAGGAGAAATTTGTGTTTCAAGGGCATAGTGTAAAGCCCTTGTAAAGCTGAGATGAGTTTTGGAAGCCTCCATCAGGCCTTAGGCAAGCCAAAACTCCTGAAGGCATCGGGAATGAGCTATTCCACGTGTAGTTTGTGGCTCTGCCTCTCCTCTAGTGGTCCAAACACATAGCTCAGGAGCAGTTGCATATCTGTCTAGGGTGGTCAGAAGCAGCTCGTGCTTTTAGACCACTTCTAACTTATCACCACTGCCGCTCAACCACCTGGATGTTCAGCGTTTCTGTATACCTATTTAAGCAAATCAGTATAGGTTTGTATGGAGTGGGCAAGCGTTGAATTCCTGTTAATAGCCGGTACGCTGTCAGAGTATGGCAAAAGCCTTTTTATTGATCTGACTGCAATTGGTTTTTCTCTCTTCCTACAGAAGTGCTGACATATTGCCATCTGTTATATGCTAAAGCTCAGTGCGTGCTCCCAAACTTAGTAGCAACAAGCAGTTTTCTTCACAGTACCATAAGAGGTCTGTGATGCTCACTGCAAGAATAGGACAGAAGTTACTGTACTTACGACAGTCTAGTTCAAGGGCTATTTTGCACCCGTGTGAGATGCAATAACATGTTCAGAATGAAACATCGATCTGCAAATAGTGGGTGAGAACAAGTCTAAACATCAGGCAGTTTGCTATCTTGGGACTGAGGCAGAAATGCCTGAATGACTCAGTCCTGCTCCAGATGTCTGTGAAACGGCTCCCCCTTTGAGCAGTATGGTCTGACTCACTTCCATGCTGCCCCGCGCTCCTTCGCGGTTTTGTGCCATTGCTGCCTTTCAAGAAGTAAAACTGGAATCTTGCCAGAGTCTCTGCAAAAATGAGCATGGAATTGCAGATATTTGCTTCTCGGATAACACTGTACTTCGAAGCTATGGTTAAGTTTTTAAAATTCCTTATCCTGCATTATGGCTGCTCCAGTGAAAACCATGAAATACTTCTTGCAAGCTTCATGATTCTCTGTGGGTTGAGAAATCTACTCCAATGCCAAGCTGAAAAGTGGTATTGATTGTAGATGAAACTATCTTCCAGGTCCAGTGGTTGCTTTGGAGTTCAGTGGAGATGGTGCTGTGGAAGGATGTCGAAGCACTATCAATGATGTTTTTAGTGGGACCAAGGTAAGCTGGTGGATTGCTTTATTGGCAGAAAATGATACAGAACATTTAGGATACTTCATGGTCAAACTGTAGCGTTGACCTACTGAACAATCTTTTTAGGTTCCAGAATAGTAAAATCTGAATATGCTTTGTCTTGTTGTTGGTTTGGTTTTTTGTATTCAAAACCCAAGCTCCTTGTCAGAGACAAGAAAAGTTGCCCTAGTAAAGAGTGTGCTAAACCCCCATGTCTATTGAAGAACAGAGCATTTCCCCTTAAAACTGTTATTCCACATAGTAGAACAAACGAGTTCTATAAATATAGT